CTACTACTACTACTACTACTACTACTGCTGCTGCTGCTGCTGCTACTGCTACTGCTACTACTACTACTACTACTACTACTTCTTCTTCTTCTTCTGCCTACTACTCCTGCTACTCCCACTTCTGCTACTCCTACTACTACTACTACTACTGCAACTACTACTACTACTACTATTTCGACTACTACTACTTACTACTGATACGCTTTACGCATACGACTATTTCTAATACCAGTACGATGGCGATTATTGCTGCTACTACTACTACTACTACTATTGCTTGTATTGTTGTTAATAGTACTATTGCTTCTATTCTTGCTATAACCACTACTATTTCTATCGCTATCACCATTACTACTCGTCCTGTTCTGACCTGTCCTATTCCGATTAGTACGATTAGTATTACTATGACTGTTATGTATTATTCATGAGTATTGATTACGGTTACCAGTACCCTTACCGTTACCATCACCATTACTTTACTTTACTACTACTACTACTACTACTACTACTGTTAATATTACCATTAGTTGTATTAGTACTAATCGTAATAGTAATGGTAATAGCAAAGTAATGGTAATAGTCAAAATCAAACCAACCCTCAAACCTATTTGCAGCCCAGGCCCCAGAAACCCCGTGGAGCTTAGAGGGAGAGGACACCCATCCCTTCAAAAACATAGAAAATATAACTTAATCATGGCGACTGAAGCTGAAGAATAATGTGCCCAGAAGCTCTCCGCCCCCTGGCAACCTTGGGCATGCATGAACCCCATGCGTGACTAGCACATCAGGCACGAGCACGGTCACAAATTCGATGTTGGTGGCTCTGCACGATATCCTGACAATTCAGGTTCTGGTTGTGGCTGTTGTCTGTCCGCAGCTCAGGCGATGACTAAGCCCTGCATCAGCAGTAATGTGTGTGGGACACGGTTAGGACAATGTTAGGACTCTTGCCATTTTAGTTTGTTGCTTGCCACCAAGATCCGCAGTCCTAGATGGTGGCCGGTTGGAATCTTCACTGGGCTGTCATACATCAACATGGTGGCGGCATGGGGGGGCTGCGGCCTGAGAAGGTCTCAGAAGCGTTTCAAACCGCTCAGCCTGTCTGACCATGGTTCATGCATGTGTAATCTGAGGCTATATCTTCGTGCTCAACATGATCGGGGTCCACGCTGTAATGCTGGTGCTGCTGGGCCGCTTCAACAGTGGTGCCCACAAGTGCCTTGGATGCCGGCCATGACGATTCTTCGTAGGAGGGGGCCGAATGTCTTGTGGTTTTTAGCCGCGCCAGGGCGTATTCGCTTTTCTACATCATCGGAACAGCTGGTGCCGTTCAAATCCCAGTGGCCGATACCTCAGTCTAGAGAGCCTTTGAGTGTAGCCGGTGCTGCTTTTTGCACTGCCAGCAACTCCGCAACTCGAACTCGTGTGGACAACTCGACTGCAGGTGGGATGGCAGCCTTTGCGGTCCCTCGAGCAGATGGGTCCACTGCTGGTCTTTGTTGGCTACCAGGACATTTGCTGAGATTCTCAGGACTTGTAGACCCTCTCGACTCCAACAGGTCCTGGCATTTTGCGATTACCAGCGTCATCGAAAAAAGATGGACACCTGGGCCTTCGTCAAATACCGCATCCTGTACCTGGCTGCACATTCAACACAGAACGGCTGCATTATATAGTCGTCACAGGACTCGAGCAGATGGATCGCAATTCACCGCGGTACTCGTAATATCTAGCCAAGTTTGTTTTTCGGGATGCGGAGCAAAGACGTATCTGCCACACTGAGGATGTGTGTTTTGGCTGGCCTGGCTCTCATTGCCGTAGCAGCCACTTTGTCGTGAATAAACCGAGCGGACACCTCAGTGTGCTGATATTGGGGAGGTGGTCTCACTCCGACCAGCCAAGGTGATGCTCTACCCCACCGGTTACTTCGGTCCACTCTCTTCCAGAATTAGAGGCGGCCCGTTCAAAGAGCAGTTTTTGTGTAGTCAAGACACTGCGTTTGGGCAACTGGTGTGCGCAGGTCTTTTTGTGAAGCACACCAAGACCGGCATCCCGACTTGCCTTAGCATGTGCATCGGAGGTACAACAAGCCAGCGGCGGTGTTGAATGCCAGTGAGCTAGAAGGAAAGCATGACTAAATCACGTTTGATAAAGGCAACCCGCGGTAGAGGTAAGTTCTTGTCCAGTTCAATGGTCTCGAAGAATGACGGTTCAGCGTTTGCGCTATGCCTCCTGATATTCTAGCCTGCGATTTCGTGCCCTTGCATTGCGAGACTCTTGATGATGGCGCCGCAGAGAGAGAGAAAGGCAACCCGCTTGTGGACTCTGTGGCCGAGCACCAGCCTGCGAACCCCAAGATCTATGTTCCTTGGTTTAAGTTCCATGTCGGTGCTGCAGCTCAAGATGCCTGCAGGCTTCGCACCTGGGACTTCCGTTGAACTACGTCCTTTTCGGTGGACTTGTTTCCGCCTTCAACCGAAACAACGGCCCGGAACCTCAGTTTCGAAGGCACTTCTGTTCGGGGGCAGGGCCGTGTTCTCCACCAAGGCTTCTACTTCCTTTGCCTCTACGGCTTCATTGCGCCCCGGCTCGGCTGCTTCAAGGGACCGGAAATTCTGTAGCAACTCCTCAATGAGTCCAGCCTCTTGGTCATTTTTTGGCTCGAAGCGCAGAGCCTCGGTCACTTCGGTCAGGGTTTTCGCTACCTGCCGCCATGGATTCGGTTCTTTCAGTCTTTCGCGAAGCGGACGTGGAGAAGCTGCCCAGAAGAAGGGTCCTGCAGCTCCTGCAGATGCACGGAGCCCAATTTATCGTGTCTTTGGAGCACAGCTCGATTCAAGAGTCCAAGGATGGGAGCGGAGAAGATGGAGACTTTTGTCCCGCTACTGGACGCGTACGCAGAAGGCCAAGCCAGTCCTGCAGAAAGCGAAGATATTCGGCTGCCACATTTCCTCGCGTGGCTCCGAGATCCCTGCAGCAGTGACGCGACTCAAGAGGAGCTGCGCAAAGTCAGCCATGATCTCCCCTGATTGCCAGCCACACAGCATTGTCATGTCATGAGGCTGCTCATCTCAGCCTGTGCCTCGACTCAATAAACATCTCTTGTTGCACATGACAGGACCCGATCGCCGCTGAGCGAAACGTCGTGGACGCATTAGCGCACCGCGGAGTCACTCTCCGCAGTGACTTGGATGTTGTAAGCTGTCAAGAGATGCTTAGCATCTACAATCTACTGGTATGTGTTGCACGAGCAGCTGACGGTTAGGCACTTTGCTTTGTGGTTGTCTGCTATGGGTTGAGATCATGTGGTGCTTTAGATCTTTTCGCAGAAACCCAATACATAGCTGCAACCCTGGCGAAGCCCTAATGTCTGGAACCGTGAACCTACACACGGGAAACCGAAGCCCGTCAGCATGAATATGCCTTCAAGAAGCAGGACATCAGATAGTGTCCTTCAATCCCTTGAAACAGCCGAGTGCGTACACTGCACTTGGTGCTTGGATGACGGAAGTCCCTTGGAGTTGAAAAGAACACGTCAGGCGTTGAGGGGCAATGGCCCAGACTCACCTTTTCGCGAAACATTGTGAGACAGCACCGTGGTCAAGGTTCTTGCCGAAAGATGCCAGCTCAATCATATGTGGTACTAGTATTTGATCCCATGCCTCCAATTCGAGCATTACTGTGCGAAAAGCCCAAGCAGGGAAATCATCGAACCAGGGCACGGATCCTCAGCTGACCGGGGTGTTGCATGTCGCTTTGGAGGGGAGAGCCCCGGTCACTGCCGATGCGGAAACCCCACGAACCAAATCGCAAAGCGCTGACAGTTCACCGACTCCAGCAGAATTGCAAGATATTGCAAGTAAAAGCCTAGAGTCCACAGTAGAAAGATGAGAGTACTGTCAAGTCATACTTTCTGGCATCCAGGCCTTGTGGCGTTTATGTGCCGGAGGCTATGCCCCACTATGATCTGGATACCACCAGGACGGTTGCGATTGCGATGTCAAAGTGCAAGCAAACTTTGTGCGCCTAGGACCGTTGATGTTGTTTGGCAAGCATCTAGGTTGCATGAGGCAAGGTTTGTTCGATGTCGCATGTCCTTCGGTGCTCCGACCCCAGATGGCTCGCACCTTATTTGGAAAGCAGACCTTTGAGGTCATCATTCCAGAGACTGCAGAGAAGGGCTGCTCCTATGCAGACTTACTCCAAAGCAGCGAAACTTGGAAGCAGCAGCCAGGGTAGCCCCCAGCACCATGACTGGCGGTCGCCGGCTAGGTGCATGGTGGGCTTGGCCGGGTTCGGTTAACGACTCACGGTTTTGTGTTTTCTTTGAGAATGGGTCCCGACAGCTTCATTGTGTTGCAATATCCTTTTGCCTCACTCACCTCCAGGAGAAGCGCCTGCCAGACAAAATGGTGTCGCATAACTGGGGGAATCTATTCTCTCACTTGATGGCAGCGCTCTTTGCCGATGCAGCCGGCAAGACGAGCTTCCGAACGGTGCTCTCATGGATGCGATTGGGTTCCCCAGGCGAGGCCCGGCCCTCTTTGGTGCTGTCCGCTCTGCTGCTCTGCTGCAGAGGCTGGGACCTCATCGAGGCTGAAGTTCAGGACGCGGGGCAGTTGGACTCCAGCCGTTGGCTCTGCATTTTTGCGGTGAATCAGCCGGGGATCCCAGCAGCTTGTAGCGAGCCGTCGCTAGTCGGCAGCATTTTCTGGCAAATTTCTTTGTGTGATCCTGGCAGGCACGTTTCCATCTGTGATAAGACGTGGGGTGGCAAGGATTCGGTCCTTGGCCGGCCGTATATACCGTGTGGATGCAGGAAGGAGACGCCGCCAAAGCAAAGCAACGTTTTCACGTTGCCGAAAGCGTTGTGTCCCGGAGGAGAAAGTTCACTCAGGCATTTTCTGCGAGATGAACAAGTTCGATGCCACTTACTCTGCAACACTTGGTTCAGGATCTTCAAAAGCCTGCGACGATGTTGTCTGGATGTCACATGTAGGTACTGTGTGTTTGTTCGACTTGAGCAAATTTGCAGGCGATGATCGCGCTTTTCCAAGAGCGACATCCACACTACGAACATGCGACCTTGGCAGCCCTAGGCACTGAGCCAAGCTGCTTCGAGAAGCGCGGAAGAAACTCAGGTGGTGGCTGTAGATGACGGCCTTTACGTTCTGACTCGAATTTGGGTCATTGCCGAGATCGCCGAGGTCTGGGCGGAGCCTTCATGCCTGACTGGCCTCAGAGTTTGCGAGGTCTTCCGGAACCGACTGCCCTGCAAAGTAGTCCTGCTGCAGCCACGTGGCACCTTGTCCGGGCAATGTTCTCACTGACAAGTCTGGACGACGGCAACTTCAAGTGCAAGTCCCCAGTCCTGCAGGCATTGAACTCTTGGGCCGCGTCAAGGCGATGGACGTCCGGGATGCCCAGGTAGGGGCACCGTTTGCTAGGCGTGCCCTTGCATAGCACGACGTCCAAAGTAGAGGTGCTGTACGGTTGAACAGACCTTGTTACAAGAATAAGACAGGCAAGTCGCCCGGAAGATGTTCACATGATCCTTGCCATTTGGGCCGCAAAGCAAGGTAAGGTGATTCAAGTTCATGGGGCGATACGGAGCGCCTTTTCAGCTGGCGTCCAAGGAGAAGATAGTGGACAAGACAGAGTTCAACGAGCGCACCAGATCTGCGCTCATGAAAGTGGCCTACCTGGCAGGCCTAGAGCTCCGAGTTGAGAGTCTCGGCCTAAAACTTAAACTCAGACCTACACTCCGCGCTTTGCGCTCCGCGCTCTGCCTGGACCAAGGATGCGATACCAATTGCGTGGCATCTCCTCGCAGCACGCAGAGGCTGAGTTCATGAGGCAGAGGAATGCAGAGGATGCGGAGGCAATAGCAGTAGCAAGCTACTTATGCAGCACTATGCACTTCAGGCAGGTGGAGATGACCCGCCAGAAGTTGAAGGAGGCAAGAACAGTTCAAACGTTCATGTCGCAGCTTCAGTGCAGCTTCGTTGCTTCTTGCAGTGGAACGTTTGACGGTTGAGATATCGGCAGAATCACTCTTGAAGGCGTCCAGCTTTGACGAGGTCCAGCAGGCTTATGGGGATTTCGAGAAGCAAACCGATCAGTTGGCCACAGACGAGGACCAGTCCCTCGACTGGGAGGTTTGTTCCCCAAACAGCACGCTCACACTAGGAGGCACATAGAGTTACTGGGCACAGCAAACGCTGCACATTTGGTCCCTGCATCTTATAATATACACAGGATGAATCGGACGCGCGTCTCCCGCTGTGCTGCAGTGCATAGGTTGTACTGGCGTCCGATTTTTTGTGCAGGATTCGTGTGAGGCGCACACATGCGCGCCGGGGGCAGGATTCATCGTACACAATACTTCATGAATATAGCAGCAGTATTTGGAGGCTAGGATTCCAACTCGGTGTGTTCCTGTGGATCTCGCAAGCTCGTGCGGGGGAAGCATGATTGTCGTGCTGGGAGAGCAGTTTCTCACTGGTCCGGGAGCTGCCTGTGCTTGGGAGAGCCCGTTTCTGTCATGCTTCGAATGTTTTTGCACCAGTTCTGACCTGAAACAAACGATTCGGCGCGTGGTTCTGAATGCGGATGTAAATTTGGGGGAAAGCATTTAGGCAGTGTCCTGGTACTGTTTGGTCTCCTGGTGCTGACTTCGTGGTTTTGGTCGTGGTGGTCCTCCGCTGGTATAATTTGTCTCCCTGTATTTAATTTGTAAATAGCAGTATGCCAGTTTGGAGCACACCGACGGGTCACATCTCAGGACAAAAATCCTGCATTTCTGTGATTTGCTGCAGAATGTCGACCTGATGCAGTGGACAGCTTACCCTTGTCCGTTGCTTCATCAAGAGCAAGAGACTGTTCGGAAACTTCATATTGCAATGTCTCTTGCATGGAGGCCTGAGCTTTTCATCCGTACCTACCGTGAAGCCGCCATTCCAGAGTCTGGCTTCAGGCAACTTCAATGAGCGATGCATGATTTTGCACAGCTCGCCATGCGACAGCCGACAGGCTGGGGATGACCGATAAGGAGGTCCTGCAGGTGTTCTGGGCGATGCGGGCATCAGTGCGGAGCATGCATCAGCTGCCGCATGTGCACTTCGGGCATGTGTCTTCAAGGGCTTGGCTTCGCCTTTGGTCTGTACTTGGGCGAGGCATGAGATGTCGCCAGGTACGTTAATGGTCCTGCAATTCTGGCAGCTTTGGCGAAGTTGAAGCAGCCCCAGGCATCCGTTATCTGCGTCACTTGCACACCCCAGCAACTCGGCTGGCCTACCTATTTGGGACTGGAATGACCCGCTGCCGAGTTTCGACAGCCTCCCACCCGGCACTCAGCGTTTTCACAGGCAGGGAGAGGCAATCGTGCTTGTGGCTGTGAGGTCAGAACACGTGGTCTTCGGGATGGGAAAGCGTGCAGCTTGCATCCGAACTAACTAACACTAGTCGAACTTTCGTGCATGCATGCTGGAATCCAATGAAGCCGCATGGCTTACAAGAAGTTCTTTGCGCCGCCACTGCTTAGGTCCAGATGAAAGAGCACAACTTGGCGACGCACATGGTCACCTTGGTCAACCGCAGCACGGAGGAGGGTGCTTGCGGAGTCTCCCATCTCAAGAACTGCTGCACCAGGGTTCTCAGGGCAAGCGCTGGCCCTTCAGCTCTCAGGTCAACATCTATCGCGGCTTCGATGAGACGCCTGGGCTGCTAAGCTTTCGGTGTCTTACAGGCAGTCCTCGGTCGGCCCCTGATTCTGCATCCCGGTACATCGGAGACTGCAGCTTCCCTTTTAGAGCCCGACGAGCAAAAACAAAGCTCCAGCGGAGACATGTATTGAAACTGGTTTGTTTTCTGTTTCATGTCAGGATATGTGCAGACAGCCTCTAGATGTGTGGTTTTGCCCGTCATACACCATGTAGCCAGTTGGTGAAGTCATGGACCAGTGCTACAGTACACCAAATAGTTTTGCAAGAGCATGAAGCCGTCATGCTCCCGTCTGAGCGCCACTGAGGCCTTCTCTCTCGTACCAAGGCCCCTTTACGGCGGAGGCTGTTGCCAGCTTTGTGGTGGAAGAGGCCAGGGAGTTGGCAGTCCAACCCCACACTCAAGAACAACGCCGGAAGCACACAGTGCCTGGAGCACCATTGCCCCCGAGTCGCATCGCGAAATCAGTGCCAGCCACACTTTGGCAGGAGAAAGATTGCGAAAATTGAAAGTTCGAAAAACTCTGGAGTCTGGCGGGATTGCAAGAATACGCCAAGGAACCATGAGGAGGACGGCAGCGACTTGGGCTCCGCAAGTTCGCGAGCGCTCGAGCATTGGATTTGCGAGCATCGGTGATGCATGCGGGTCTGTCCCACTTGCCCTTGCAATCTCCATTTTACAACGAATTCTGCATGCCTGCCGGCCGAGTGCGGAAGGAGCACGGTTTGTTGGAAAATACGCACCGCGCCACTGCAGCAACCGAGAAACCTCGTAATTTGACCATAGTTTGTAGAAGAAAGGCTACATGTCTTCACAGTGTCACAGATCCCGTTCATATTCTTACTAAACGTCTCTAATTATATGTATAAATATATATATATATAATTATATATATATGTATATATATATATATATGGAACACATGCACACATGCATGTATATGTATGTGTATATATACGTATATGCTTCTATGTCCGAAAGATTCCGAATGTAAGTCAAGCGAGTCGAGCATGGGTATCAACATGCTCCGGCCTGACACCTCGAACATGACTGCTTGAACTCGGAACAGCCAGGCCCTTCCACTCTTTGGTGTACTTCACGAGGCAGCGGGAAAAGTGCCGCACAGTCACTTGAGTCTTCCCAAGGCTGCACATCTGATTCTGCTAGGCGAACCGCGTGCATTATCTCGTCAAGGCAAGGGCTGGGCTTCTGACTGTTTGGCTTGGCCCATCTGGGGAGCTGCAAGACGAGCGCGTGCTGGTTGCGTCAGCTGCGATCAAGCAACTGGCGACTCGCTTCCCTGACATCCCCTGCTGCCTGCTGAATTCAGCCTTTCTGGATGCCGATGTGCTGACCCGCTTTCTGCACACAAGTGACACTCGTCGTGAAGAAGAGGATGGTGATAGTGAGAACGGATTGCCGACGGCTGTCGCGGTGCTCTTCTTGGGCCAGCTATCTGGCGGGAGAGCCCGCTGTGAGAAACTGACGTCGGAAGCCCTGAAGCGCTTTGTTTGCCCACTTCAGCTGCCGCTGAGAAGCGCAGACAGGCTGCAGGCATTCGTCGAAGGCGCCCGGGATGGTGCGTTGAAAGGTGAGGACATCTCTTCCACAACACCCTTGCTGGGCGAAACCTTCGCCAAGAAGCTGGATCAAGGACTCGCTGCATAGTGTTTGGCTGCTACCTCCGAGTGTGTATCGTCGCCGGTCAAAACCACTGGAGGGAGCGTTACGAGATTCTTCTGTGGCACAATATCTACAGATTCTATAGCCTGCACCCAGGGCTTCAAAGCAGGATAGTACGGATAGTACAGGAGCTTTGAGTTGTGTTGGCATGGCTGCGCCACCAGTTTGGACAGAGTGCCGTGTGACGACACGGAAGATGAGGAGCTCTCCCCTGTTCCCTGCACAAGCCTCTGAGAGGCCATGTGTGCAGAAATTTAATAGATTGTCGTGATGCTGTAAACCAAAGGTTGCAAGAAAGCATCAGAAGCCGAAGGAAGATCATCCAGGCTTCAATTGTACTGCCATGCGAGTATCAGAATATCAGACGTACGTTGGCAAACAGGACAAGCAGTGCAATGGGCTTCTGCAGTGCTCTTGTTTTGCTGCTCAAGTAGACACCGAAACCAAGGCGTCGCACTTCTCTGGCAAGATGTCGCGACTGGTGCTGATATGTGGCCCGATCGTGTCTGTGGCCTGTGGCCGTTTTGCTGCATATTACCAGACTATTCATTCAGAACAAGCTTTCGGACTTTCTGCCTCATCCCGTTTCCTGCAGATAGCTGTGGCGTTTTGTTCTCAGCGGTGTCGGTTGATGAAGCAAGGATGTAACACGGAGCTTGGACGCTTCGGCTCTTGACCCAGCTGTTGTCCTTGGCGATTAGGAATATGGTGCGGCTTCCTCCTGGACATGATCGTAGAACCGCCTCTTGCGTGGCAGTGATATGCCCCGCTGAGCGGCCTGCTGCCGGCTGAGATTTGATGTGCTGCCTCTTCAGGTTCTTGCTGCTGCTGGGCAAGAAGGGTTACGGACCCCCCGCCGCTTCAGTGGACGACACACCGAAGTGTGCGGCCCAGTTTTAGGGGTGTTCCCTAAGCCATTACTTCTGCAGATCTATACCCGGGTACCCTATACCGTACCGCTCAAGCTCTTCATGCACAGCTCTCACCACTGTCAGGTCCGGCAAAGGAAAGGCAGAGAAAGACAAGGGAGACAAGTCAGGAGGCGCTTTCGGTTGTCGCAGTGATTCGCGGATTGTATGCTCGCCAACCATCGGTGCTTCCGCTTTGTCAGCAGGAAAGGACAAGGATGCAAAGAAGAAGAGGCAGCGAAATCAATCACATAATCCGGAGTCTACGAGGGGCGAGGGAAGACGGAATGTTCTGTCCCTGTCCAAGCTATTTTGGAATGTCCTGCTTCTTCCTGACCCCTTCTTGGGCCGACCTTCAGAAGTCTCTTGAATCTGCTGTGCCGTACGTGCGGTATTTTGGTTAGTGATCCAGGAGCTTCAAAGAGCAAGTCCCTGAGCTGGAAGAGCATGAAGAGGAGCCATGGACGTACAGCTGACGGTTGGCGAAAGCAAGTGGTATGAAGTGGGTTGCCAGGAGCTGCGCCCTGGTGGCGCAATGCAGTTGAAGCGCATGTTCAAAGGCTCGCGCAAAAGCATGATCCACAGAGAGCTTTAAACTAGCCTTCTACGCTGTGTGGGCTGAGGGCATACAACATCAAAGACCCGCAAGACTTCTTCTTGCTACTTGTAGGTGCTCCATCCCCACAGTCCAAGCCAATGCATGGCCTCAGGCTACTGCTGGAAGATGCTTCCGGAAAATTCTGTGCGGCCTGGCATAATTGTTTTTCCATTGGCCACACGGCTTGGAGCCCCATGTGCACGTGCAGAGTGACAGTACTGGGTAGTTGTTCGAAGGCGTCGCCCCTCAACTGTCTATTGCTAGTTTCTAAGCACCCACGGTCCGACATGGACCGATGTATCAGCGTACACTTGGCGGACGGCCTTCATGTTGCCTCATCCGTTGAAATTAAGCAAGTTCCGCTAATCTGGCCAGCTAGGTTCCTGCCCCAGTCACCGCGCACCGCCGACAGTCGCAATAGCTGGTGATCTGCGTCGTCAACTCATAGAATCGACTTCTGTGACCATGCCCTTCCTGCTTTTTTTCGCAACATCAACTTGGGTATGCTGTCCCCAGGGCCTCTACTTGGTCGATCTTGGTGGTTCGCTTTCACGCAGCATCGCAGTCGCTGTCTAGGAGTCTAGGGCAGCGACCTATGTAGATTCTTGCATTGGGTTGTTTTCGCTGGGTGTGTTGCCTGCAGGCTGTCTACATTTGTACTTGGTTGTAGCGTCCAAAGTGCGCCTACATCGCGTTCTGAGTTGCGGCCCGGTGTCTCGTCCAGAAGGCATCTACATGGGGATTTGTCCTCGGCGTGCTCCGGCCTTTACTGTCTCAAGCGGCGTTCACACGGGATGCGTACTCAACGTGCTTTCTGTTGTTGTGCGTTGGGCATCTTGTCTCCAGGGCATCTACATGGTAGAGCACGGCGTCGTTCAGGGGGTTGCTTTGAGATCGTTCAAGGTATCGAATGTGCTGAAAAGACCCCTCGGTGACACTGAGGGAGGATGTCCGAGCTGCCCGCTATGCGTTTGACAGCAAGCCACTCCTGCTCTTGTTCCGAGCTGCGGCCTCCATCGATGCCTGGACTGCAGGGCCACAGTCTAGTGACGCGGAGGGATGGTATTCTGGGTTCTGCTCTTAGTCGTAGAAGGTGCCGAGGTGCTGTGAGTTCAGGGATGTGTTCCCACTTGCGAGCTTGGGACTGTGGTGTCTTTGCAAGTTTTAGGCGTTCTTCCCAACAAGTTGTGGATAGGTTTCCAGTCATTGCCCGTGTAAGTGCCGAGGTGTTTGTGTGGTACATGCTCACCATGAGACGCTCGGTACAACAAGCAGCAGTGCAAGGCAGTGACAGCCAGCATTCAGGGCGCAGCTGCATGTCAATGGCATGGATGTGGTGCAGCATCTTTTAAGGAACCTTTTTGTTGCACTCAGCTGTGCCCTTCCGAGCGGCTTAAGTTCTGTGCTAAGGCGAGCTCCGATCAGAAATTCCAGACTTTGTGGAACGATGCAAAGCCATTGGAGCTCGAACGGGAAGGGGCTGCGGCATGTGGGCCGGTCAATGCATGTCGAGTCACAGCCTGTCCCTTCCAACACTGTACACGGAAGGGCCACGAGGGGGATGCCCGCGGTGAGAAGCATTAATGCTGTCGCGAGGAGAGCAGGTTGCGAGCCCCACGGTCATGTATGCCGTTAGGCAGAAGGCTTCCTAGTCGCACATAAAAACTGAGCTTTGTCGGGCTAGTGCCTGCAATGCGGCTTTTCAAGGATGGCAGCAATTACATCGTGGATGATTACTACAAGGGCTACAAGTGGCTCGAGCCACGTGGCCGCAGATCCGCTACATGCGATTGACAAATTCATTGCAACATGGAGCTGTTAGGAAAAACACCGCAGAAGATGCCCGAGTCATGGCCTGGTGGGACTACGGCAGCTCAGAATGCATGGCTTAGATTCCTTGAAAGCAATTGGGCGGCTGCCTTCTGAGCCAAGGCTACCAGATCACCGGCATTGGAAACAGGCACTGCCGGCCTGAGGGTTTATGGATGCAAGTGAAGCTTGCCATCCCGGTAGACTGAAAAGATGGCTGGAAGGCCGGGGCGAAGCATGGTTCGTGCGAAGAGAGAGAGAGAGAGAGAGAGAGAGAGAGAGAGAGAGAGAGAGAGAGCAACCTGACCAAAGCAAAGCAAAGCAACCTGACCCGGGGGAGAAACATTGTAAGCTTCGTTGCAACCGAGCTCTTGCTACCAGACGTAGGTTGTAACTTGAAAAGAAAACAACCTGGGTCAACAGTAGCGACACAAAGACAAGACCCCAGAAAACTCTGTTACATGATTACTTTACCTTTCTATAGCTACCAGCTGTCAGTGTTGTTCGAACAATGGGGGAATGTCAGTCGCCGTACAAACATCATGCCTGATCAAACGGTCATGCGGGGATCATGGCTTGTTATCAGTTGTCAGTTTATTCCATGTTCTTGTTGTTTTGCAAAAGGAATCCCGGACCGTCACAGGTAGAACTGATTGTAGTCAAAAGTACCTGGGGGATCACACAATATTGCACTTACTTATACCTAAGGCTACGTTGTATTGTTTTCGCTGTCTAAACGATCCACCTGGGGGAAACCCACTACGAAACACTTTCACACTCCTCCAAAGTCCCCACAAAATATGGGGGGGCCCTAGTGGCCGAGGGGTCTTAACAGCCCCTCATGCCCGGCGGAAGAGAGAGAGAGAGAGAGAGAGAGAGAGAGAGAGGGAGGTAGGGAGGGCTGCTCCCGCCTCAAACCCCGAGCAAAGCAAAGCAAAGAGGTAGGCGAGTCAGCCGCCACTCCCCAAAGTGGTTGTGAACTGGAGCGACACCCCCGGGGACCCACACCCCTTCGCAAGCAAGCCAGCAAGCAAGAGAGAGAGAGAGAGAGAGAGAAAAAAAACAAAAAGCAACTGCTCCCCCTTGTCCCTTCGACGATCGCCTACACTGGGCCGGGTACTGCATTGGCTGGGGCAGATGAAGCGGGATTTCTTGGCTAGGTTTCGCTGCTTGTTTGAATGTTGTTTAGACCGTGCTTTGTTTTGGGCTTTGTAGAAAAATCCTTGTGATGCTCCGAACGAGTTCCAGTGTCGAGGACTTCGCGACTTGTAAGATAGATGTGACAGTCAGTTGGCTTTCACATGTACGAACCAACAGCCTTCCCTGGTACCGGTAACTGCTGATGCGGGGGCTGGTGGCTTTTTTTTCCCGTCGTAGAGAGACGACGTTCCCTCCGCCTGAGCCTGATTCGTTCACAGCTGCGGCAGCGCTCCTTTCCTGCACCGCCTGCACCTAGCTGAGCTAAACCTTTTCCTTTTGCACGGGGCGGGGCGGATCCGCGGCAATTCGCTGACAGCACTTCTGTTTCCCTCCCACTTGTTTTCTGAGGCCTTGGATGACCCACGTGTAAACGGGAGTGATTGGCTCTGTTGTTTGGAGCTCTTGTTTAGCGAAGAAGGGGTCTGCCGTTGCTGAACCTGTCCGGGAAAGGCGCAGATGACATGAGTGCTGCCTGCAAAGGGGTTGTCGTGTGATGGTCGTAGAACCACGGTGCGATTTGAGGACGTGTAACATTGAGTTGTGTTTGCGGTTGCCGGTAATATGCCAATTGCTGCAGCACTTCAACTTCGCAAGTTCGTGGAGCAGCGCGGCGCGGATGGCCCGAGCGGAGTCTTTCGTCGTGGCATTCCAGGTCATGGTTTAGGAGGGGTGTAAACGGATCAAGTCTAACCCACCCCTGGAAGGGAGTCTTATAGGGGTAGACCTCAGGGTCGGGGGCTTCCCGGCCCGCATGCCCGTTACAAGCAAGTAAGAGAGATAGGGAGACTGGTTAGCGGACGTTTTGTTACCGACCTGAACCATCTCTAACCTGACTTCTGGGGGCGACCAGACCGTGGACTCCAGTGCACGCTTGCGTGCATTCCTGAACTGTACTAGCTGCCTTTGCGCAACAACCGCCGAAGCAAAGCCAGGCACCAAGCACGAACGAGGGTTATAGTGTCTGAATCCTGGGTCTCTCCAGCACAGCGCCAGGACTTCCATTGCTGACGGAAACACCTGGAACCATGAGCACATAGCGACGCTCGGGCGAACACTCACAAGCGAGGCCGGAGCGAGGCAGATGCAGCCTTCAGATGCAAAGGAAACATAAGTCACAAGTCGCAGATGTCGCAGTTGCGATGCCAAGAAGTTTCGAGGTGAAGCGAGCGCACAATGCAATTCGGCACCTGGCCGACTATGTTCTTGTTTGGGGCGGCGGGCAGCCACTTGGCAAGAATATTCTGCATGCAGGCCGTAGAGTGCTGCAGAACAGAGAACTGATGCCCTCCCGGAGGCGAGATGATCTGGGCAAATCGCCTCACCTCGCCAGGCAACCGAAAACGTCCGACTGCTAAGTGTCAGCGACTGCCCTTGGGGCTTGTTTGGGCTCAACAGTTCGAGATTGTGTCCCAGTCGTAGGTCTAGGTGCATTGAGTCCAAAGACACCTGCTACCCTTGCAGTTGAAGGATCGGCAACTCTGTTTTCCCAGACCATTGCGGCGATGACGATCCGAAATGCACGAAATTCGGTTCCATGGCCTGGAGTTTTAAACATGCTATTATATGCATGATCTCAAGAGACCGCCAAACAGAATTGAGGACTGTGACTGGTTGTCCTTTCGTAGTCGGTCGCTCGTCAGACAGTCTGATGATGTTTCATGCACAAAGGCTTCTATGCAGATCGGTCACCGACGCCGATGATGGAGAAGTCGCTGTTGTACAAGCTGGTGTCCTTGACCTGCACAACATGCGGCATAGGCCCATAGGTCATCTTTTCAAAGGAAGGCTGGAGATTTCTGAAGAAGGTTTCAGACCTGGGAAGGGCAGACGGCGTGTAAGAGGAGGGCAACTTCTTCGAACGTTTCGAAGCCTTATCTCCAGCGCCTGAAAGCCGCAGCAAGCCCATGCCGGCCGATTTATTGAGTGCCACAGACTCCTGGCATTTGCGCCATTGCATCACACATTGGTCAGCCGAGCGAGCTTCTGCAGAAGGGCACCTTAGGTGGAGCACAACAACAAGAAGGGTGTGCGAGTGAACGAGAGCCTCTCTCTGCAATGACATCGCTTCAAGTTTGCCATTCCTATTTGTTGGCAAACAACCCCCGAGGCGCTACTTCAAGCACGTGCACACCACCAAGCACGGCCTCATGCAGCCTGGACCGCTCGAAGACACAGAAGCCTTCATGGTCAAGGCGCTCTGCAAGGTTCCAGTGAAAGGAAAGTTGTAGCCAAGGCGAATCTATGAGGTGCAGAACGTCTCCCAGGCAGATAGCATTGTCAGAATCAGCCCACGGAAGCTAGGCCCTCTCGGTCGCGATCCGCTGCACTCGTTTGAGAGCCCTTGGAAGGAAAGCAAGGACTGGATAGCAGACCCGCAAAATCGGGTTTGTGACGCCCCGGGGAGCTGGTACTGTGCTGAACTCAGGTTGTCAATACACCTCTGAAGATCACACTTGCCTTGGCATGACAAGCTGAAGACGAGGCGTCGGCCAGTACCCCCCTGCCCTGAGCAAGCTGATAGCGAAAAGGCGAAACTTCGCACAGATTGAGGACAGAAGGGCACTGGCAAACACAGCTCTCAAGAGTTCTCAAGAAACAGTGTCAGCGATGCCAGGCACAGATAGTTCGAGCAAGCGTTTGAGACCGAAAAAGATGTGAACAGGACTTCAACAAGAAGGGCGAGAAAAGCGCCTACACTCGCCTCATTGAGAAAGAGAAGGGCGAGCTGTGAGAGTCTCGAGGCTTGAAACACACGTGTGTGTGTGTGTGTGTGTGTGTGTGTGTTTGGACTCTGGACGACTCTATTTCCGAGAGCGCAGGTTTCAATACTAGCAGCGGCCACAGAACTAGGACTAATGCTGCCTCATAGCTACAAAAGAACCGACAAGAATTCCGAAGCAGCAGCAGCATCATGGTGCCAGTCTTCGTCGCAGTCGTAGTACCGTACTACCTTTCTACCGTAGTAGTAGTAGTAGTAGTAGTAGTAGTAGTAGTAGTAGTAGTAGTAGTAGTGGTAGTAGTAGTAGTAGTAGTAGTAGGAGTAGGGGCCCCCCCACTACCAACCATGCCTCTTACATACTCTGCTCGGACACATCCGCTTTACTCGTGTTTGCAGCACTTCGGTCATGTCGAACATCTTATGAAGCTTCAAAATTCACTTGCGAGTTGCAAACTGGAGCTTCCGATTCCGGACTTGCATTTTAGGCGGAGGGGTGGGGGGATGTGGGGATGATGATTGTTACGCAAACACCCGAACAACATCTCCAGAAGAGCCGTTTTATTCGGCATTTACAGTACTTCCGCGATGTCGGGTCATCAAACGTACCCCTGGACTTTGCGAACTCGACATTGGGCTTTGCGGCCGATGCAGCCGCTTGTGGCGAAAGCTCTAAACTGGTTGGGGGAAGCTTTTCTGTACTTGGAATTTAAAGCACGTTGGTCATGTCGTAGTCCATTGCTAACCGTCGTTCTTTAGCACCCTTGTTGCCACGACGCCTTGGTAGCACCGAACACCACACACCACTTCAAAGGCAAACCCTCCTACGCCCAGGTTTGGGCTTTAAGGGTGTTGGCGAACCCTTCCCACGTACGGCTAGCATGTTTGTATTGAATGTATAGAAGATGTTGCGCTTCAGGTTTCTTCTTGCGATTTGCACGGTACTTTCAGCGTTTTCGTACAATCCGACCACCTGTGGTTTGGCAGTTTCTTCGCCGTCGAGTTTGCAACTCCAGTTGCTGTCGCAGTTTTGGGGCCTGAGCCTCTGCAACTTCGCCGGCTGTGATAGTTAGGGCAAGTGAGCCTGGGTAACTTCAGCAGCTGTCACAGAGAGCCGGCCTCAGCCCCTGCATCTTCCGCAACTGTCATTTTCGTTGATGATGATGATGATGTTTCCTGGTGATGATGGGTTAAGGCGCCAGGTGGTTGGTAGGGCGGTTGGTAGTAGTAGTAGTAGTAGTAGTAGTAGTAGTAGTAGTAGTAGTAGTAGTCGTAGTCGTAGTCGTAGTCGTAGTCGTAGTCGTAGTAGTAGTTGTAGTAGTAGTAGTAGTAGTAGTAGTAGTTCTATTGCTACTGCTACTACTACTACTACTACTCCTCCTCCTGCTGCTGCTGCTGCACCTACAGCTACTGCTACTACTGCCATTACTTCCTTACTGGTACGAGTACTCGTTCTCGTACTAGCACCATAGAAGTACTAGTACTAGTACTAGTACCAACTACAACCACCACTACACGTACCCCAACTACTATTCCGCCACTTGTCACGACTACCAAGACGAAAGTTTGGCATACTTGTACATAGCACTTGTTAGTTGCGATAATCGTCCTGATCGTACAAACGGGGACGCGGACCAGGGGAGCACATGGAGCTTTACATGCTTGCCCCGGCCCCGGTGTGGTCTCCTGTCATGCTTTGCACACAAGCCTCATTTCCGGTTTCCTACTGGGATAGTCGGGCACCAGGCCAGCCAAACTGCCAGCTAATGACTGGAGTTTATGCAGCACCGCGGCTTTGGCTTTGCAGGTGAGCCGAGTACCGAAGCCGAGACGACGTGAAGAGTGACAAGGGCACCATTCTGACAGCAAGTTTATAGGGTGGAAAGTATCCCATGCAACCAGGATCAAAAATATTGGCACAATTGATCGTATGCGATCGTCCTGGTGTTCCTGTGCTTTGCCTCGGCATTTCAGGTGGAGTGGAAACAGGCGCGTGCGCACGATAGGCTGCACCCCGGCATAGAACGTAGTCATGATTTGCTAGGTGTTTGACGTAGCGAGCACGCTGATGGACAAACCCTCCGTGTCCTGCGAACGGGAAAACACGTTTCTCGCCGGTGCGGCTGTAAGCATTGTGCCTCGATGCTCGAATGCATTGAAGCACAGATGAGATTAGGCAGGTGATAAACTGCCTGTCGAACCCTACCTTCTTCTTGCTTTCGGCTCGATGGAATCGTGCGAATTGCGAAATCTGGCAGGGGCTAGGAAGGATAATCTATAGCCTAGTGGCTTAGTCAGCCTGCATACCTTGGAATTTGCCCCAGAGAATGGACAACCACTGTTCAACTCTTTCCAATTCATAAAGTTGGTCGGGAACATCTGAACCAGTATAACACGAACGTCCAAAAAGCTAAAGACTAAGTGTCAACAACTGCTGCCGAGCTGAGCAATGATCCTACTGCCGCGGGAAGCCGTGGACAGGAATGCCTATCACAGAGCTTCGATAGGAGGCGGTCCGACTGTGGCATAGGCCAATGCAGCTTCGCAGAATGCCACGAAAGTAGTCTGGTGGAGAGAGTGTCCACCGCAGTTCATCATGCAGCGCGGTTTTGAGTGACGTCGGGAGCTACTGCAAATCCCGCATGAAGTTGATGCGACGGGCCTGACGGGCAAGATGGAATGCAAGGAACTTTCAACCTTAGCTCCAGTAATTCCATGGCAGGCCGGTCTTTCCTGGGTATTGGAGCTTATGATCCTCGGCCGAGATAGAGAGAACCTTGGGACGCCCTGTCAGTTGCGTGTTTGCAGGACTGCTCTCCCGCGGGCTAAGTCTAAGCGGCCGCTCCTGGCCCGGTGTCATGCAGTCTCATATGGCCATAGCCACTGCAGATATGAATTACCCGGAGACTCTAAGACAATCAAGCCCTTCTATGCCGCTTCGTGCGAGGGACTGGAGCAGCTAGTGAGCCCGGGCGCACAGAGACGCTTGGCCGGCAAGGACGGAGGCTCCCAAGCCGAGGAATTCATAGTCGTCATTGCCGTCAGCCGGTGTCCTTGCTTTAAGCGAAAGCTGCAGAATCGGAAATGCCTTAAGGCATTGAGCTTCGGGTATCAGATTTAAGGGTGCCAGGACACTTGCAGCAATCTTGCAGCGCTGACACATGCATCCTTGATCGGTTTGACGAAAGTACGAATGGCGCAATCTGGCTCTAAGGAGAGTTCTTGATCAAAGAGGGCGCCCGCTGTGGCGACTTCTTGTGCCGAAGCGGAAGAGCACAATTGTGAATGACCGATGTCGGCACTCGAACCTTTCCGGGAATGCCATCGACATGGAAGGCAGGCACGGACGGTTGCACTGCATGCGAGAACAGCTCAGGCACTTCCACCAAAGTGGCGAGTGCTTCCACTCAACCTACAATGCCTCTTGCTCGGAGGATTTCCACTTGGACAGTCAAGGCTTTAAGTTCAAGCACCCTTCAGCCTGAGTGATGCAAGGTCGGCTATATGCTCGGCGAAGGTGGCTTCGGCAAAGTCTTTGTGGCCTGGACAGCAGATATTCCACGCGCCGGGGTGATCCGGGGTGTTTACACAGCATGGCCACTCTCTGTTTCTGCTCGTCTTGCACGCGCTTTGACATTCCCAGCCCGGCGGCTAGTCAGCAGATGGCTTCTTTCTTTCGTGAGGCTGTGTGTCCACGTGCGAACGCGCCTACTGCACATGAATTCAACTAGCAAAAACGGTGAAACTGAGAGACACGGCTGGGATGCTGTCGTTTGACATGGCCTCGGCCAGCCACCGTGCAAAATCCCCTGCTAGCTCCTCTGCGCTGTGGAAGCATAGATGGCAACGCCTGCCCTTTGCTGCACAGTCGAATCCAATATCGCGCCAGGCCAAACAGCACTGCAGCCAATGCAGGTGTTGTCGCTGGGCTCGGAGGGTAGAGGAGTTCGCGTTCCAAAGACAAGAACAACGAACCGGCGAATGAGGAAAGCACAGAACGACAGCGGCCCATTCCAAGCCGAAGGGGGGTCGACAAGCAAGCGGGTAATGCCGCCATCCGCCGCCCGGGAGGACATCGAGGTGCGAAGCCTCCAAAATGCCCCGTCCACCTGCAATAAGCCCCGGCAGACCTGCAGGGCGCGGGCTGAACAGGAGCGGCACAATCCGTGGCCGAAACGAGTGGTCTTCAGTTGCGGGCGGGCGACCAACCTGCATCTCTTCACACAGTAGGTCTGCCTGAAAGCACAACAAGACATCCTCGGCCATTGCCCGTGTGGGCCCGCAACTGAGCTCCTCAATCCAGACACACAGAGTGCGCCGGAGAAGCGCAAAAGGCTCTACGTGGCTGCGGATGGCCTCCATGATTTCGGTATCCTCAGCAAAGGCACTGCTGCGTAGCGTGCTCAGCAACGAGGGTGAAATTTCTTCCACAGCGGCTGGAAGATGGTCCATGCCTCTGCCAGGAATCGCTCGGCTTTGGACATGCGCAGGCTTATCGTCCAACACCGGCAACAGGTCAGCATCACCGCGTTCAACGGATTGTCGACAACGGATAGACCCGGCAAGGTGATTCCGCAAACGGGAGGCATTGGCATATGTGCATCCGCAGGCCTGGCACCGACGACCGCAAGCTAACCGGTGCGCCTTGATGCGGAACTTGTGCTGCAGAGCCGCATGGGAGGCCCATGTGTGCGCAGTGGGAAAACGTTTGCGACACAAAAGGCAAGCATGCTCGGAAGATGGGTCAAGGACAGGGGCTGGCTCTTCTCGGGGCCAATGTCGTCGGACAAACTGCTGAAACAGTGCATATCCTAGACGATGCTGTACGTGCCACGTGCTGGCACGCTTCAGCATGCCTTTCCACCGGCGGAGACTTCCACAAATGAGGCTCACCCAGCCATCCCAGGAGACATCGAATCCCCCTAAATCGGAAGTGGCCGCGAGAGCCACGTGGAGCCACTCTCCTGCTGCACGGAAGGCATCAATGCCATCAGAATGGTGCTGTAATAAAGCCC